TATAGTATAGTATAGTACAGTACAGTACAGTATAGTATACTTCTAATTTCGTACAAACAGATTAATCTGCTTAGGTAGTAGATGAGGAAATTGATAAGGGCCTTATTGATCCTGTAACTTTCATAAATGTGCACCTGAACAGCAGAAGTTATTCTGCCAACTGTCGGTTCTACAAAAGCTACCTATGGTTGGATTTCAGGATATTGAGATGATGATTGTGTTGCTCAGGTTGACATATAGCCTTAAATTTTGTCTTAGAAATAACAGAAGAATCTTTCCTGATTTTGGTATAGAACAGCCCATGTTTTATTACATACGAAATTCTGTGAGCTGGATAGATCTAACATATTCACTTTTTAACACATCCAGCTGCTCACTTAGAACAAACAGAAATGGTATTGGATTACAATGGTCTGTTTAAAAAACATGACTGAAAAAATCGTAAGTGTGAATGGTTGTAAGACAATTAGAAGACAACTGAAAGAGTAAGAAAAAAAATGTTAACATTCGTCATATTACCATGCAAATTTTTTTTTAAAAAAATGAGGCAAAAAGAAGAAAACCAGCCAAAAATCTGTGGAAAATCACAATGAGCATTGATTAATTAAAATAAAGATACATATTGGTATTGCAACATCACAGGTATCAATTGGGTAACATAGATACACAATATATATTAATATTACTAACAAGAAAAATAAAATTTCTTACCCCTTGTTGGACAACTTTGGCACAATCTTCTGCCAGTTTCCCAAATATTAAAATATAGATGCTGCTATTCCTGGAAGATGAGTTTTCTGATTCTGAAAAGTTAAATATCACAGTCTCACTATTTGCATATGTCTAAATACAACAACAGCTACTGCTCCCACATTTGCCAATATTATGATTAAGCATATCAGATTATTTCTCATCAGAGTATGAAGGAAACCCTGGACCGTTAAGAAGAAAACACTTCTTTATATGCAGTAGTTCTCAGAACATTTTTAATAGGGAAGGATGTGTAAAGAATTTACTGTCCCCCAAGTCATTCTACGAGCCAAATTATGCTCATCTTTTTTCACTTTACAGGTAGGCATGGTAAACAAATACTAAAAAGCAAGAGTCATAGTTTGGAAAGCTTTTGTTCTCAAACAATATTTACATTATTTACACTGCACAATAGAACTTGCACCCATTCCCCCAGGAACTATATACATGTTCTGTGATCATTCACTGCTGTTGTATTCTGTATATTTCACTCACACCATCCTTGTTGAATACGCACCTTGTTTGATAAACCTAACTAAGAATCATGAGAATATAGTAATTGTGCTGAAATACCTTGAAGTACTATCTTGAAGAAAGGTGTCCCATTTCCAAGATTAATCAATTGATGGGATGTAACAAATGATCCCTAAAACAGAGAAAAATACCCTAATTAATACATTTTGAAATTTTATAAATATCAACCATATTCAGAACTTAAAACTATACCTTTAAACAATATTATCTCCCACATCCTTTTGAAATATTTCTAGAATACTAAAGAGATTCAGGGTATTTTACAGAGGCAGAGGAATTAAGAGAATGTTCCTAAAATATAAATATAAGGCAAATGCAACCTGGCAAGGCAATATCATCACTTCTCTGCCACAAGCAACTCTCAGAGGAACGCAATATAGTTAGATAAAATAATTTTAATTTCCCTTCAAGCCAATGTTTACACAGTGGATCATTGACAATAAGTATTACGATTGGGATAATGATGGCGATTCAGGCTACAATCCTAACTTCACTAATTTTGTAATAGGTATTGTTGCAGAAAATGACAGGCGCTAGACATCTCAGGATACAGGAAAAGTTTATTTGGCAGCCAGGTTCAGAAAGCTAGCCCATGGCTTAGCATTGCAAGTTCTGAACAACCTTAATTATCGAAGCACGCATTCTTATACATTCTCAAAAGCATTGCAACACGGAAATACTTAACACATTTCTTAGTGGTTACCTTGAGGAGAAAACCTTATAAGGAGATGAAGGTCTTACTTCTCCTTTTGTTTCAGGTATGGCTTACGTGTTATTAACGAACTTTAATTGAACTTTGTGGTTTGGACATAGGGACGTTGGCGAGAACATCCTGCGGTTAGTGAATGGGGACACTTTCTTTAAGTAACTTCTAACTGTTCCTGTCTATTGCAAGTCCCAACTCTTGTCTATGTGACTTTTAATATAGAAGTAAAGGGGTTCTAAGAGGCTGTCCAGCCTGACCCAGTAGGTTTCACACTTAATGTCCAAATCTCACTTTATGGCTGCTTTAGTATCAATGAATTTAGTGGAACTTATTTCTGAGCAGACATAAAACTCTTTTTTTGCTGGCTATTTTGAAAGCTGACAAAATTGAGTTAAAACATTTTTCTTACAAAACTCCTGTGGCTCTTCCTAATGCTCCATTTTACTTTGTAGTTCTGAGTTCATTATCAGCAATGAAAAACTCATCATCTTTGGCTTAATGTCATGCACGCTGTATATATGAATACCAATGAAGTCTGATTGCATGATTTTTCTGCAGAGGTTTTCCTCAAAATAAACATAAGTAGTATGTAAACGGCAACTGAAATACTTGTTCAACATCAAGGAAAAGCAAAGATTCCCAAGAAAGCCTGGAATCTGTATATAACAATGTCAACAACAGGCCCAATATATTGTTGTACCTTGAATCATATTGGGTATATTCCAAAGCATAGGTGATATAAAATAACATACCTACTCTTTATATTGGAATAAATGGCACAACAGAAAATTACTGATAGACATAGAATTCATTTTATACTGAATAAAAAGGAAAAAAATGTTGTGATATGGTTTACTAATTTAAAAAATGGTTTCATAAACTATTTAAAAGAAAAGTAAAAAATCCTAATAATTCACCAGATAGGTTTTTATTCCAGTCCTGTTAGCTTTATATTCTAAAGATTTCTCCCGCTGTAATTCTGTATCAGTAAAACGAAGCTGTATATTATATACCCACATAGAGTAAAATTGCCTAAGATTCAGAAGGCACTTGTCTGTCTTCAGAAAAAGAAATAAAAACCAAAAAACTTAAAATTAAAACATGAATGGATCATATGGATTCCCATATGGAAAAGGTTCACTTAAAAATCTGTTTATTCTCTAAATATCTATATATTAGACCTGTGGTTCTTAAACTGGGGTTAATTTGACCAAATCCTATATAAGGATAAGAGACCAGTTTGTAATTCCATGTTTGTGTGTCAAACATCCAATTTAAAATTACCAAGTTGCTTGTGTAAAATAGTCTGGGTTTGGGGTCTGCCCCCCATCCCCAGGAATTGGAAATATCAGGAAAAGAGATACCTATTTTAAAGCAACTAATTTTAAACTGAAGCAATGCAAGACAGACACTGTGGAAAGAAATCTTTATGTTTGTAGGACTAAAACATACATGAGATTTAACTTTGACTGAACCTAATGCTTATTACAAGAGAGGTCACATCTAGTTACAAGACAGGAAGGGATATAACCACCCAGAGATGCTGGGAGTCTGGTGGCATATAATGTAATATATTATAGCTGTATGTAAAGTTAGCCAGATGTTCAGACTGGATTTTTGTCTATCCATTGAGTCCTGCCCAAGATTCTGGGATAGGTAGATATTGTTTTGTAATATTAAAGATATCATCATCATCGAATTCAGAACTTTGCAATTCCAAAGATACATCTATCTGCCTGGCATTTGGGGCAACGCTCCAAAGGACAATCTTCCCTAGCAAGTGGGCTGTTTTAGGAAGATAAATTGCATCCATTTATTTGGGAATCCGTCCCAATGGATTAAATAAACCCACTTTAAAAAAACAAAACATTAAATATACCTCATCCTCCTTGAGCACGTTTTATGTCGGAAAACTAGAAGCAGAGCAACTTTTCTGCAGCCCGTAACTCCACCCGTGTTTCAAGGCTGGCATCTGAAATGCCTCTGAAATGCACGAACTGCCTTTACCTGAATGTATTGGTTCGCATAGTCGCGCCCCAGCTGCAAATGCGCGAGACCGACTTTCTGCAGGTGGTTGGGCAGAGAGTTCTTTGCCACCCTAAGGGGCCCACTCAATACTTCCAGAGGCATGGCGCTTGATCCGGACCCACATTTAATGGGAAAGACGCATAAAGGAGGGGGAGGGGTAACGGTCTTTCCCCGGACCAACGCGCGAACCTGCAACGAAGTCCTCTGCCTTTCTCCTTCCAAGCCGTTCTAGCCCTTCTCATTCTATCATTTGCAACCCGGAAATTACAGAACAGGAATGAGGCGCATGCGCTCTTGGCGAAATGAAATTCTGCGAGCGATCTAATTTGTCCTTTTCGCTATTGGGAGAGCGAATGAAGAATGTTTAGCAGCACCGTCTCCCTTCGCTCTGCTGGTCAATGCATAAACTTATTAGAAATTTATAATCTCTCAGCACCGTCATTATTGTATCTCACTACTGTTTTCTTCAAACTTGCACATTTCTCATATCTTTCTTATTCCATATCATCTTCTTTGGTTGCTCTTGGTGACATGGTTAAAGTTATCCATATCATTCCTAAATGGGTACAATATTCCAACTCTGGTTGGACCAATGCAAAACGGAGAGGAACACTGGTTTATATTCTCCATCAAAAGAAATGTGTAGAGGATCACAGCCTAGTTATTGTTATTAATTCCTTGTGTGTCCAATCACACATGGCCAATAAAACCTATTCCATTCCATTCTATTCCATTCCATTCAATTGCAGATGCAACATTTGCACATTCCACATAAACTAGTTAAGAATTATTTCCGGCCACTAACCCTTGCTTTCCCATTGGAATTTCTACATCAAGGTTGATTTCAAAAGTGCATATTTAGCTTTTTCAGAAACACTTCAAAGTTCATTCTATACCTTAGCCTTAATTCCTTACTGTTCTATCACAGTCTGATGGTAGCAGAAATATAGCTGTGATAAGTGGGTCGAAAATGAGTGCCAGGACTTTATAACCTCTGTATGCTAATACCATTTCATTTGAGAGCTCTTAGCTGATTTCTCTCTGGTTTCATATATCATTTTTAAGAAAATGAAGGCTATTGTGGAATCATAGAGCAGTTTGTAATAACCTTGAGAAGAAACACAGATTATCTCCATTATCTTCTTAAGGTGCTCCTGGACATGTTTTTTTGTTGGACAATTCTAATGTCACTCAACATCTGGGATTAATTTGGACTATTTTACTGTTCAGAAGTTAAGTGACTCTGGCTTCCCCATTGACTTTGCTTATCAGAAGGTCACATAAAGGTGGTTACATGATTCTGAGACACTGCAACTACCATAAAGACATGCCAGCTGCTAAGCTTCTGAATATTGATCAAGTGACCACAGGGATGCTGCAATGGTCATAAGTGTGAAAAACTTATGTAAGTCGCTATTTCCAGTGTTGTTTAGTAACCACTAAACAAATGGTTATAAGTCAAAGACTACCTATAAAGTAGAATCTCTGGACACAACCATATTTCGTTCCATAACTTTGGTCGCAACCCGATATGGTCATGACCCGAACCTAATTTCCCCATTATTCCCACAACAGGAAATTTGGCACTTACAAATAAAATGGGCCAGAAGGGGAAATCGCCCATGGCCGTATTTGATCACCACCCAAGTGGTGTGTTTGTGACCAGATTCAAACATTTTGTGAATGTTTTGGTCGGAACCCAATTTGGTCGTGGTCAGAAGCAATCGTGACCAGAGGTTCTACTGTATAGCATTTTTCAATGTACATGTGTTAGAAATGTTGTTAGAACTATTAATTAAAACCCATGGCAATTCTGGTAAAAAAAATGCACAATGTAGATGAATGAGGATTTGAAATTAGATCTCAGATGTGTTTCGACACAGAAACTATTTTAAGGTTAAAGAGCTAGCTATCTCACCTATTATCCAAGTAGGATTCCTTCTAGCTTTTTGATAAACCCCTAAGTCTCAAATTAGCAGAGGCTTTAAGGCAGTGTTTCTCAACCTTGGCGACTTTAAGTCCTGTGGACTTCAACTCCCAGAATTCCCCAGCTGGCTGGGGGATTCTGGGAGTTGAAGTCCACAGGACTTAAAGTCGTCAAGGTTGAGAAACACTGCTTTAAGGGATGATTTATCTCTCCCTTCTGGATGATCTGATTAAAATAATAATAATACTAGTAATTCTTCATTTACAATCGGTTGCTTAGCAGCTGTTTGAAGTTATGATGGACCTTGGAAAAAGGACTTAAAACTAGGATTCAAAAGTAAAATATCTAGGCACCACCCCTGGTCACATGACCATATTTTGGGCAATTGACTTGCATTTACAGCAATCTGCAATTTCCTACAGTCATATGACTGTAATTTACTCCCCCCACCCCATCGAAACAGGTATTTACTTCTGGTTTCTGAAAACAATGGGTCTGACCCCTTAACAAGCAATAGGTTTGCTTAACAACCATGGCATTTGCTTAATTACCACTATGTTTGATTTATGACCATTGTATTCAGTTAACAACTGCCACAAAAAGGCTGTAAAATGGGGCATAGACAAGTGATGACCCACTTTATGACTGACACAATTTATGATCAAAATTGTGATCTCGGTTAGAGTTGGAAGTCAAGGACTTACCTTTAAAAGTCTTTTTTAACATTTCCATTTAAACGTTTATCTCTTATTCCTTTTATATAGTTAGGCTGCCTCTTTCTAGGGTAGTGTCATGGTCCTGCGGAGCCTGGGTCCGAGGGAGAGGATGAGATGGAACTAGGGTGACAGAGGATGATGGCGCAGCCTCTCTGGCCACAGAGGAGCAACCAGAGGAACAGGACAAGGAAGTTCCAGGTCCCTCAGGCCTGGGAAGGGTACCAGTGAAGAAGAGAGTGTATAGGATGACCAAGTGGGTGGGGGGGAGGAAAAAGCAGGCAGCAGAGCAGAGGAGTGACGGAACTATGGCAATCATGGAGAATGGAGAGGAGGCGGAGTCAGCATAGGACGACCCACCCCTCTTCACAAGGCTTAGCTGGGGAATGATATTTAAAGATATGCCATTGGGAGGGGTGCTTGTGGGGAACAAACATTTCATTTTTCCAGCCTCATGTGCTGTTACCAACTTCTGAATACTTTGTTGTGCTTTGTCCTGCTTGCCTTGCTTGACTGGCCTGGCTATATGTGAGTTTGCAGCGACACAGTTCTGCTCCAGGTTGTGCTGCAGTCCCAGCAGTGGTGGGATTCAGCCAGTTCGCACCTATCCGGGAGAACCGGTAGTTAACTTTCTAAACAGTTCAGAGAACCGGTTGTTGGAAGAAATATTTTGTTTTTTTCCACTTTACCAGGCTAATCCTGTAAAGAAGGCAGGAAGGAAACCTTCTGGTGTTGTTTCTAGCCTAATCTTTATTGCCCTGCTTATAGAAACTGCCTCTCTGGTTAACCCTTATTACATTGTAACAGCTAAGGCGAAGCGCCCATCGACCTGAGTGATGTTGAGTTGGCCATGGTCACATGATCACATGACACTGAGCCCCGCCTACCTAGCTGGTCATTAGGTCAGAGAACCGGTTGTTAAATTATTTGAATCCCACCACTGAGTCCCAGTGAACTCTTCCTGTGACAAAGACTCCCTGGGACCAAGTTCCGAGGTGGTGCAATGGTTAGAGTGCAGTACTGCAGGCTACTTCAGCTGACTGCTGCCGCAGTTCAGCAGTTCAAATCTCACCAGCTCAAGGTTGACTCAGCCTTTCATACTTCTGAGGTGGATAAAATGAGGACCCAGGTTGTTGGGGCCAAGATGCTGATTCTGTAAATCATTTAGAGAGGGCTGTATAAAAACACTATGAAGTAGTATATAAGTCTAATTGCTATTGCTACTCCCTGAACTGTGGCTGTTCTCAGAACTGTGCTGCACTTCTGGACTAATAGTAGCCAGGAACTATTGGACGTGCATGTTTAGAGCTTTGCTCCTAGACTTGCAGCGAATGGTGGGACCTTTAGGGGAAAGTTGGAGCAATAAAGGGGAGTTAAGCCTTTGCTCCAGCTGTGTTGCTTTTGTGCTCAGCCCTGGGTCATCACAGGTAGAGCCTTTTATCCTCTCCCAATTTTTTTCTAGTTGCATTGGAAGTATAAACCTCCCTTTCTTGTCCATGTTGTACGTGTGTTGCATTTGTAGCTCCATACCTTGGACCGTCTGAATTTCATTTTTTGTGTCTCTATTCTTTGGCATAAGCCTACTCCTTTCCCGAGGACCCCAGTTCTGCTTTCTGTACAAACTTCAAGTTGTTTTCCTACAGTCACTTTATTGCTTCCCTTAATCTATATCTCTGCAACACCAGCAGGGATTTTTCCAGTTCCTGAAGAAACATCTTAATTAATTTTCTTATTTCTGGCTACTAAAGTAGCTTTAACATTTTTATTATTTCTTAACTCTACCTGCTCCAGCTGGATTTCATATATTTAGAGGTTCAGTCTTTTATGAAATGATCCAGAAGTTAATCCTGAAGTGAATAGCATTTAAAGAGCTGGCTATATATCCAAATAATTTATATAACGTTCAAGATAGCTTTCTTTCAAATGAGAATATTTGCAAATAATCCTGCAATTATCAAATTACCTTCTCATCAAATTACATCAAAAGAACAATGTTTATGCTACTAATTAAAAGTTTGTGTTGTTATTTAAAACAGAGGCCATAAGGCTAGCTAGCAAAAATTCTTGCAATAGAATTCGCTTTCATCTGTGACTATTATGATGAACAGTAGATGGCAATGTATGTAAAGAAAGAAAAATGTCATGAGTAATAAAAGGATGAAGGAAAACATCCCATTAAAAGTAACAGAAATAATTAGTATTTTTAGAATTAGGTTTTAATGTTACCAACCTTTATTATAATTTATTCAGCATTAAGAAGATTCTCAGTGAATTTATTATTTAAAATTGTCCCTTGATTTCAGAGTAGCACTTGACTTTGGGCCACCATTTTATCTTAATATTTTATTAATTGCAGCAAATCTATTTATGGTAATAAGAGTTAAGGGAAGCCTGCACCCAGCAAAGTTTCTTTCAGCTTTTAAGGAAGCCATTTATGGGCTGTGTGTTTAGTGAAAGCATACTCATGCTTACATTACACCCACTAAAACAAGTGGGAAAAGTACCATGTTTCCCCAAAAATAAGACAGGGTCTTATTTTCTTTTGACTTCCTAAATAAGAGCTTGGCCCTATTTTCAGGGAGGTCTTATTATTT